CAATGAAACAGTTTTGACTGCTATGCACATGTTCCCTTCAACTCTATTGGTAGACTCTTCCAGTCTCACTGTAAGCTTACTTTTAAATCAAAGCTTGTAACTGCTTATGGAGTGGCCCGATATGGGCGAACAGGCTAATTCTGTGGCAATGAAACGGGTTTGAAGGTTAGATATAGTCTATTTGTCATTGGTGATTATGAACGTCTTTTTACACTTAATTTACGAGGTTTACGACTATGGGTGAATTTGACTGCGACAATGTTTCAAAATTAGGAAGGGAAGCAGTGATTCTTTGATTATATAGACGCTTCGCCACTGGATAGAGCAGATTTAACATTAAATGTTGGTTTCTGACCTGAAAGAAGCCCAAAATGTCAAATAGAACTTTGTAATTCTAAGCTAGCGATTTGCTTAAGATTGAGTCAAATAAAGTACCTTTGTGAACCAAAAATACGTTAAAGATCACGATCGCGAGAAGAGAGACCAAAAGAATCATCAAAACTGCTACAGAAAATGTATGGAAAATATATGGCGAGAAACTGACCACAATCTGTAAGGAAAGCCCAAGAGAATTTTTTTAAAGTGTGAAGAGCATGCGGATAAGGAAAGACCCATACCACCCGACATGCATTATAAATGATAAAGAGGGAAACACCATTCTCGGCAAACATGCAATCAAGAACACATATTCTATATGCAAACTGACATACATTCACACTCATTCACAAACGTAGACAACAAATACAGCAGGCGAAAGGCGAGATGTTGCAAGTTTACCGTTAAAGATGGCCTTGTCGACACCGGCCGAGCACCGACACACACAGATGTTGTCCATGTAGCAGGCATCTCCACAGTGCAGGGACCTGGGGCAGCCGGCTGGACACGCATACGTCATCAAAGGTCAGCCAAAGGGAGATAAGAATTGTATGACATTACTGCGTGCTAATACGTGATGTGACGACAGAGATGTATACCCTATTCAATAATAGTGGTGATGATGATGATGTTAAAAAAATTAATATATATGGCATTTTCTATATATTATTGAGAAGGATAATAATAATAGTAGTGATAATAATAATAATGATATTT